CGTCCCTTCTGGCCCGGGGCTGGGGAGCCGCCCTCGGCCCCCAGTGCTGCTCGGTCCTAGGCACCGTGTGTTTTAAGGTGTGTACGGAGTGGCGGGGGATGGGAGTCCCAACCAGACCCTCGAGGCTGTGTCTGGGTTTGTCCGCAACAACCTTCTCCAAAGGATGAGAACCCCTCCAAATTTAGGGGTTAAGTATCCTCGAAGTTAAGGATCGAGGTCCCACATGAGAAGACTTCCCAGCATCATGTAAAGGGGAACCCCTCAAACCAAGGTCTATGTTTCAATCTCTCTTCTAGGAGCCAGGGACCCCCAGACCGGCCCCCACAATCCCTCTCGAGCCCGAGTTGAGATTTGGGGGGATTCTGAGCCCTGCCTGAATCCTGGCCTTCCTGCAGGAAATATCTGCCAACTTGGAGGTCCTCTGAAAAAGTCTTTAAAAATTCGGGAGTCCTCGGAACGCCCCCAAATCTGAGGGCTCCCAGGAGAACCTCACCGGCACCATCTCGAACCTTGGGAGTCTTGGGGAAGTGGTCAATATTTGTAGCTCATCCAAGGGGGTTCAGCCTCAAACCCGAGGCTCCCAGTGCCCTGTCCCCAAATTCCAGCCCGGAGCGAGTTGGGGGGAGGGGACAAAGGCGGGGCGGGGAGCCGCGCCGGGAGGGGAAGGGTCTGGAGGCATTGGAGGCTCACCTCATGGCTGCTCCGCGGGCGGGCGGTGCACCCACAGGTCGGGTGCTCCCGGGGCGCCCCTGGCTCGAGGTTCAGGGGTTCGGGGTTGGCTCCAGGTTCTGCTCAGTCTCCCCTGGGGTCCCGCCCCATAGAGTCCGGCTTCCTGGGGAAAACGTGGACGGGGCTGGGGCGAGTCCTCTGGCACCTCCTCCCTCTGGGGCTTTGATCGGGGTCCCTGCGGCAGAAAGGGGGTGCGGCGTCCCCTCCCGGCGCGCCCCCTCGGCCGCCGGCGGCTACAATGTTACTCTTACTACTGTACTTCTCTTCGCTACATTTCGTTCCAAAATTCCACTCCCCGCACCCACAATTCCCTGCGCCTTAAAGGGGCCGCGAACAAATCAAGGCAGGGGGTGGGGTTGATGGCGCTTAAAAGGGCAACGCGGAACCGTAGGCCCGCTATTTCCCTCTTCCCCAACGTTATCGCGTGGGGATGCCTGCCGGGGCCACTCTCACATTAGGGGGTAAGCTTGGTGGAGGGGAAGGGACCCTTCCTTGATACCTAGTTCTCCCCCACGATGAGAATTCTTAGGGGGATCTCAATGGGGGCACAATTTGCTCTCACCCTCCCCATTGACTTCTCCATTTCTTTGCATTCTACTCCATTTGGGGAGGCGGCGACGAGGACCTTCTGGTTAAGCATGGATTCTCTCGAAATTTCTCCGTTAAATCTTCCCTTCTGATCCCCCAACATTTCTCTTCTCTGCCAATTTATGAAGGGTTACTAAAGGTGAACCCTCTCCCCAGCACTGGAAAGGGCCCCACCCCTCTCACTGGCCCCCGCCCGGCCGGGGAAGGTGAGGAGGAAGTGGGCCGAGGGGGCGCGGCCCTCCGCTGACTCACAGCCGCGGGGGGTGGGGGTGCGGCGCTGGACCTGGGTGGGGATGAGACTCC